GAAGGGTATTAGGATCAAGGTTGATCCTATCCTGAATTACTCTCCAACGGAATCCGCGCTGCACTGCGCCCAGGTCCCCAGACTCGTGGATCATAAAGTTGCCGGTCTTGGTCTCGACATCGATAATAATGTGCTGCTCTCCTGCCATTTGCACACGCATCGCGATACCATCGCCTACGTATAAAATGTTTTTATCGAGACTGAAAATCATCAGAGAGTACTTACGATCTCGAACCTGACGCACGTCCCCTGAGTGCGGAAATTCTGATACAAGACCAGATGACCTTGCAATTTCGAGGTGTTGGGACATGATCGCATCGGCATGCCTTCTCAGGACTTTTTGCAGCAACGCCTCAAAATCCAGGCAACCAGAATCCTATTTGGGAGGTATAATTAGTTGTGTCATTAAAAGAGGTGCCTCGTCTTCACTTACAATGTCTAACCCTTCATAATCTAACTCGCTGGGAGGTAACAGCACACCAAGAGCACCGGGCTGAGGCCTCCACTGAACATCGAAGCGGTGCTCCTCCACCTCATCGGAAGGCTTCCCCCCTCCTCTGAGCTTTAGACGCTCTTGCATCTCAGCTTTGATCTTGTCGATGGGTGTTCTCGACGGCCCAGAGGTTTGAGATTTCGAGGGTGCGGGTTGTTGACTGTCGCGCCCAAATTGCCCAAGTGGTCGAGTGAATGTATTAGGAGTCATTAGTGACGACTGGAGCTGATTAGACGAGGTGAATGCCGAATTAGAGGAGAGCTTGGGTACGATTGAGATTATAAGCTCCCCCCCATATGAAAATGCGTTCTTCGCAGCTGCCAATATTGCTGGATTAGGATGAGGTGGAATAATGGGCTTTTTACTACATGGGATAAATTAGGTCACGATCAACTACAGGGGAGAAAGATACTCACATCCAATATTGAACGGTCATACTTTTCCTATCTAAAGCGACCTTCACTCTTAGACATTCCTTCCATCCAAATTCGATGAGCTGAACGGCTTGAAAGATAAGGATTTCGAGTTGATAATTTAATGAAAGGAGATCTGCAGGACGGTGTCAGACAACTTTATGGAGTAGAAAGTCATGCTGGGTAAGTCAAGAAATAGAGTGGCTTACGGAGAAAGTTATAGACTCTGACTAGGGGTGCGTCCACTACAGCACTTGTAAGTGAACCGCTGGGTATAGTGGTTAAAGGATCTTGTGATGTCGGAATGGTCGGTGTCATGATTATGTCTCGGATCTGGAAAGCTAAGCTGTCCGAAAACGCTTTTGGAGGTCGCCGCGGAAATTCTGAGGATGATTTAGACCTTTGACCGATTATTAATGGGAGATATTTTCACCTCTACTTCCTTTTCTATCTCCATCCGGAAGTCCAAAGAGAAACTCGACATGAACAAAGGCCCAAACGTCGTCCTTTTGTGCGCCCGTCATAATGAGGGAAACCTCGAATCGTTGCGGAACAGTGAAGAAAGTTCTGCCCCCTTCGATCCTCCATTGTTTCATTTCCACTGGTACGACGTCCTTACAAATGAGCCGCATGCGCATAATATCTTCCACTTGATCAAACACTTCGGCAACTTCGCGATTGCTCAATGGCTTCTTTTTGACAAATTCTTGATGTATGCTTGCGAGGCGAGTGTATGTACCCGTGGTGAGTACGTCGAGCGCTGTGAGTAAGTCGGGATTTCGTATTCGAAAACGATGCGCTTCGTCTTGGACACTATGCAAAGCCTTTGTTGCCCAAATAATTTGCTCTCCTTGTGTACGCAAGAAGGCAGCAATGTTCATTGCCTTTTGGATGTCATCTGCATTGCGACTCCATTTTGCGAGAACGTAGACCTTGGAGGCCTGCTTGTACGCCAAAGATAGCCACTGTTGTAATTTGGTCTTTTTTGCCACATCCGACGCACGTCCTAGACTTAAACGCACGTTAGCGGATAGGTTTGATACGCGAAATCAAGCCAGAGATGGAGTGACTTATTGAACACGCTCCCAAGGAACATGTCAATCTGCCGGTCTCGGGATGGAATCAGTTAGCAAAAGGGAGAAGACCCCTTCATGACATGAAAACCTTTGGTGGACATCATATACTTACGTTTCTGCTATATTTAGCAGTTGTGCATACAGGTCTTGCACTAGCTGATGCATGACAAGACTCAACTGCACTTGCCCATCCATCACAACTGGCAACTCTCTCTCCAATTCATGCATAGACGGTAGCGGCTTCTCATCTGGGTCTTCTTGGTAGAACTGGCCATCTCCTAGCGGGTGGTTGTGACCGAAACCATTGCTCATTGGCTGTGAATCATGCGAAAGATGGGGTTTGCTATCTTTGAAGCCATTTATTGATATGTTCGAGGGATTTAAGTCGAAGGATGCTGCCTGTACTTCCATACGGTCCAAAGGTTGGGACAAATGGACATGGACAGCGACAAGCTGGAATAAAGCAAAAACCAGTTTACTCTCGACCACTCCAGACTAGTACCGCGCCAGGCTACTAAATTCAAATATTATCCCTCTCATTGTGGATTTCCGGTGCTTTTCTCGGTTTTGATGACGATGCATTTTTCCCGAATGTTCCCAACAGGATTTGGGCTCTAAAGCGAGTAGCGCGTTGGAGGCCTCGCAGCGATGAATACCCGAACTCAATGCTAACAAATAGACACCGACTATAGACACTTGACAGGATGTGTAGCATTTACCAAATATATCAGACAAAGGCTTTGTTCCGAGAACTATAGGGATCATCATAAACTTGGTTTAACGACTTGATCAAACACATATCAGGATTCAACCGAGCTAGTCCTTGTGTAATTAGCTATTTCTTGGAGCCGTTTCCGAAAATCAGCGCAGATTCCAGAGAGCCAAGGGGAAACCGTGGCAAGCTCGGAGTTTCTAATCGAAACCGTACCTGGAACCTCTATAAGAGTACAATGGCTTGACGCGTGGAGTAGGCTTGACATGATACTTTCTTGTGGTACTGCTCGTCGTGCTGGTAGAAGTCGAAGCATTGCTGCTGAGGTAGGTGCTGGTTCGACTGGAAGATGCTAAAGTTATCGGGTCATTACCAGGTACTTTGAAGCCCATAGCGATCCACCCAGAACGAGTTGGACTACTCGGATATGCCTGTAGATACTCCGTCACTCTTCTTTGAGCCTCATCGACGAAGTCTACTGGCAACTCTTGCCCATCCCGCTTTATTTTCAGGTGTTTTCTCTCCGCAATGGGGACTAGCTGATCTAAGTCACTGCTATCCTTGTATTGTTCCTTGGAGTAATGGTATTCGATTGCTGCACGATACTGTGACCATGCTTGTAGCTTGAGGAGAAGTGTCAGAGATAGTGGAGCTGCGGGGAGTCGACGAGAGTTGCTCGTGTCAATGAGGGAGGGAGATATGCGGGGAATCGACATTATTCCGGGTAGCAATATATCGACTTTGATCGAGGTTCTTGTATTAGTGTAGCTGTATGAACTATATCCATATGAGCTGTTGTCATAATACGAGGAAGAGGAATAAGAGGATCGTGTCGAAGATGGCCGGTAATAAAGAATTTTGTAGGTCGCAAGAGGTTTCTTGGAGGGAACCAAGTAGAAAGCAGGGTTCGAGTTGACAATTCGCCGTTTAATGTACTCTTGTTCGTCTGAAGTCCCTAAAATAAGAATATCCAGGTCCTGGAATGTCACAAATTCTGGTATCAGCTATCACTTCTGCTCATGCTTCCAGTTTGCTTACCTTTGGATAGCGGCTATTTCCATAAAGAGAACTGGCTACGCTGCCGACGAAACAGGCACTAGTATATCCAATATTCTTGAGTGTTTGAATGGCTGCAGATGCTGCCTCCCATAGATTGTCAGACATTCCTGATAAGTTGGGATTCCTTGGGTGGCGGGCAAGATAGTCGGAGGTGGAAGGGATGTGAAGGAAAGATTCCTTTGGACAGAATCTTCAGCAGTGGACACTTATTTGAGGCTCTTCACCGCCCAAGATGCCGGTCCCTGCCCTGTTCTGAACCTAGATGACTGCATTGTCAGGCTCAGCTCCGACGTAACCATTCCACCGTTCCAGCTGTTGACCACTTGAAGGGATTTATTCTTGGATATGAGGCTGTCGCTGAGTATCGATTTCCACAAACATGGAGAATGCAATGGCAAGCTGCTCGTTGTATCACTGATACCGACCTTTTGATCGGCTGATTCTACATTGACAACATACACCAAGGCTTACTTACGAACACAGTATACAGCCCATGATGTAGAGCAGAATCAACCAAGTGCTGGCTGACCAGAAGGCCATTGAAATGCGGCCATCGAATTGTCCAATGTACGACATTTCGGGACAAGCTCCTGAAACTCTCCTATATACGCCATGTATATTCATTTTATGATATTAAGCGATTTAGTTACTCTCCTTTTCTCCACAGGAAGCCTTAGACTCACTATTGCCTACTTGCCAACCGAGAATGTCAATTTCGGCGATGAAAGATTTCCTTGAAGGAAGATTTAAGCAATTGTAGCTTGATTAGATTAAAAAGAAGCTTCGGAGACTGAAAGATGGTGTTCGGACCAAGGAAAGCAGATAATGTCTAGGCTGGGATTTGCTCGTAGCCTCTCCGTCCTCACGACATCCCAATAGAGGCAGCTTGAATACCCAAGAAATGAAGATAAGGGTCAAATCTGTCTTCCAAGTTACGCGATATGAGTTGCAGATAGCTCTATCTGTGTGTTTAGCAAAGTAGGGGCTAAGACAATGACCACAAAGGAAGGCAACTCCGATCCTTCCGTTCCATTTTCCAATCTTATTTGCTACAAAATGGGCCAGAATAGACCGTCAATTTCTACGTACTACATTACAACCTGGTTTCACACTATATATCAAGGTTATTTACATGGGCAGACTCGCGTTTCAAACTTGGCCAACCGCTTACCTCTATTGAGGGCGTTTAGAGGTGAAAATCCATATGATATACAACATTTTGGACTTATTATCCCGGTAAATGACATTGTAGTGAGTGTCGACTTTTCCATCTGTCCATGTCGCCTGTGACTTTGTTTACTGAATATCTCCCGTTTCCAAAGATGTCTGACGTGGTGGTTGGATAGGATTCTGGAAGACTGTTATGGTAGTCGGTGACGGCTAAATACCTCTGATCGACGACCAAGACCTGTGCACCTTTCCAAGATAGCCTCGACAGTCAATCGGGACACCCTCTTTGGGTGAACAACTTCCCTGCCGGAACTAGAAACTTCATGTCTTTGAAACTACGATGTCAGCTCTACGTCGACTTTTCAAAAGGAAGGGAAAACGCAAGGTGGTCACGGAGGAGGAAGACTCGAGTATCAAATTGGCATATCTGAGCC